GCCAGAACCGACCCGGCCAGAACCGACCCGAGCCAGAACCGACCCGAGGCAGAACCGACCCGAGCCAGAACTGACCCGGCCAGAACTGACCCGGCCAGAACTGACCCGGCCAGAGCCGCCCTCGGCCCGCAACAACCGGACTTGGGGTGCTCCGGTGGGCACACAGCCCGCTCCCGTTCCCGGTTCGGGTCCCGCTCCCGTTCCCGGTTCGGGTCCCGCTCCCGTTCCCAGTTCGGGTCCCACCCCGCTCCCATTCCCGGTTCTGGTCCCGCTCCCATTCCCGGTTCGGGTCCCGCTCCCGTTCCCTGTTCTGGTCCCGGTCCCGGTCCCGTTCCCGGTCCCGGTTCCGGTCCCGGTCCCGGTTCGGGTCCCGCTCCCGTTCCCGGTTTGGGTCCCGCTCCCGTTCCCGGTCCCGGTCCCGGTCCCGGTCCCGTTCCCGGTTCGGGTCCCGCTCCCGGTCCCGTTCCCGGTTTGGGTCCCGCTCCCATTCCCGGTCCCGCTCCCGTTCCCGGTTCTGGTCCCGTTCCCGGTTCTGGTCCCGGTTCGGGTCCCGTTCCCGGTTCGGGTCCCGTTCCCGGTTCGGGTCCCGCTCCCGGTCCCGTTCCCGGTTCGGGTCCCGGCCCGGCCTCACCTCCCGGGCGCGGCGGCAGCGATCCCGCCCTGCGGGGAGGCGGGACCTGCTCCGCCCGGAGCGGCTTCCGTGTCACGTCACATCCCAGATCAATCTGGGATTGCCTTAAATGCCGAATGCCGGGATCAGCCAGGCTGGGGATGAGCAGAGGGAGCAGCCCTGGGAGAAGGACCTGGGGGTGCTGTGGGTGAGAGCTGGACCTGCCCCAGCCTGAACCCCCCTGCCCGGGGCTGATCCCCCAGCGTGGGCAGCAGGGCAGGGGGGATTCTGCCCCTCTGCCCCTGTGCTCAGGGCTGTTCACCTGCACAAGAGAAGCTCCAGGGAGAGCTCAGAGCCCCTGCCAGGGCCTCAAGGGGCTCCAGCAGAGCTGCACAGGGACTGGGGACAAGGCAGGCAGGGACAGCACACAGGGAATGGCTCCCACTGCCAGAGGGCAGGCACAGATGGGAGATTGGGAATTGGGAATTGCTGGCTGGGAGGGTGGGCAGGCCCTGCCACAGGGTGCCCAGAGCAGCTGTGGCTGCCCCTGGATCCCTGGAAGTGTCCCAGGCCAGGCTGGATGGGTTTTGGAGTGACCTGGGACAGTGGAAGGTGTCCCTGCCCATGGCAGAGGGTGGTACTAAATGAGTTTTACTGTCCCTTCCCATCCAAACCATTCCATGGTTCTGTGACTCTCAAAGATATTGGGATATTGGGAATTAGGAATTGCTGGCTGGGAGGGTGGGCAG